AAAAATTAATGATTTACTTTAATGATGAAGTCTTGAAAATTTCTTTAGAAAATCAACGATTTTTCCGTAAAGGAGCCTGAAAATCCATGATTGCCTTACTGAATTAGATTCGAAAGGTTACTAAGAAATCCATGATTTAATCCAGGAGGTATTAAAATTTCTTGAGAAAATCCCAATTTAGACTAAGAGACATAAAAATCTTGAAAAAAGTTATTTAATTCAAGAAAGCAGGATAAGCTTTAAAAATCCTTAGAAAATCCATGGTGTTATTGAAGGGCTGTCTCATGAAAAACGCCTTGGAAATTCCTCGTTTCAATTTAAATAATGTGACTTGAAAAATTCATTGGAAAATCTAAGACTTGAGTTCAGAAAGGGGCCCGAAAAAATTCACGACTGTATTCAGTGAAGAAGGATTGGGAAATACTATACAAAAAGGTTTGACGAATACAAGAGATAACAGAAGGAGGCTCGAAATCCAAAACAATCCATTGAAAATTGACACTTGACATCCGAAGCAAGGAAAATTGAACCATTAATTGTCCCTGTTTCGGATATTCTCAAGGATTTTACCTAACGAACTGCAATGGCTCAAGCGAGATTTTCTCCAGGATTTTTCAACGAAAGCGATCCTGATAAAAACCTTAGAAAATCTTTGATTTAATTCGAGACAGGCGTATTGAAAGTCTGTTAAAAACTCCGCGATATATTTTTTAAATCTGACGATTTATATTTTTTCATTTGGAAGATCCAGAATTTGATTTAAAGGAGTTTTAGAAATCCTAAATTACCTCAAGGAATGAAATTTGATAAATTAAAAAAAAAAATAATAATAATAATTCGTTTTAAAAGAGCCTTGAAAATTTCTTTGAATATGCTTTCAAATTAGGATGTTTTCATATCTTTCTCCTATTTGATTTTTTCCCGATCCCCCAGGATACAAATGTTGATTCAACCCCATCTAACATCATTCTGCCTCCTTGGTTAACAAAACAATTAATCTTTTCCACTTGATTGCTTGTAGCTGTTGAAACCTGATGACAGTTTTCTGTTTTGTTGTTTTTATTTTTTTTTTTTTGGTTCTGTTTTCATTTGGAGGGATATTTTCTTTTAAGACACAATTTTTATCTTCTATCTGCACACTTGGCCGAAATCTTGAACAGAACATTCATCAAGAACCAATTATGAGTGTCGTCGTGTCTCCATCGTTTGGGGTTGACATCGCAACGTCAAGTGAGGAGTAAAGGTAGGGGGTTCGGTCGGTTAACGAAGTAACTGTCAACATTTTATTATTGTTAATGGTATTTGTTGAGGAAATTCTCTCTAAATCAATATCCTCCTCGCCTCCCCAAAATCAAATGGTATTTTTATATTATTTTTCATAATCATTGATTTCCTTTGCAAGCGTACTCCCCCTCCGCTAAAAACGAAATCATGTCAAAACTAAGGGGACTTAAAATAACAGAAATAAGCTGCTGCTGCCTTTGATCCTGACACATTTGGCCTTTGCCCCCCATCCAACCTCTCTAAAAGATATGTATATGTGATATTCAGATGTAAGTCAATATAAGTGTTTTACTATGTGTCTGTGTGTGTGCGTGCGTGTTTTCAAGGAGCCATGTATGACTCTGAGACTCCCTGGTTCAAACAATTTGTATATTCCTTTTCTGGCACACAAGGTGATCAGCCAAAGCTTTTTATGTTCTTGGTTTTTGAAAATTTTTTTCTGCTCCTTTTTTTCTTTTTCTACGTGACACTGCAGTTATTTTTCCCAATTCGATTCTTCTGGCAAGTACCAGACCAAAACGAAATAGACACACGTATAAATGTCAAGCTGTAACTGTAATTGTGTGCCAGCAGTGTGAGTATTATGTTATAAAGGGCTTGCTTTGTTATGGTCCCCAAAAAAAAACGGAACTCCTGCCACTGTGTGTGTGGCTGTGGGGTCAGGATAATCATGACTAAGAAACGACAATGGCAGCAGCAATGATTATTATGTTGACGATGTGGGGGTGGAATTGGAGTTGATTTGAGTTTCTTTTCTTCCTTTTTTTGTCCTTTTAAGGAGATTTTGATGTTTGTGACAGGTATGGGAAATTAAGTACTATTGTCACAATTTTTTCTCCGTACATCCTTAACCAACAAGTATAAGAAATTACCTATAAAACTGATGTAGTTTTGAAAATATTTAGAACAGAATTATTTTCCCTAATTGAAGCGAGATTGACACCTGTTCTCATAGATAGATTCTAGAAAATCGTAAAAAGAACGGAATATCAGAAAAAAAATTACTTTCAGAATCTTGACCTCTATAATACACGGATTCCGAGGAATCTTAATCCGAAAATTTCCAAAAGTATGGAAGAGGGGGAACATGCACCTCTCCCCCCCCCCCCCCCCCCCCCCCTCCGCACGATTTACGTTACTTTGCCATGTAAACTTTCAAAACGCCGATGCAGGTGTTTTCTTTGTTTAGCCCTTCTGCTGAAATTTCCCCGTAATTATTAAACTAAAAAAATAATAAAATAAATTATTTATCAACGACTCAAACCCTTTTAAAGCCTCAAGGAGGCCATCTACATTTCAAACAGAAATCCTTAAATCCTTCTACTTATCGTTTCGAATTCTGATAAGAGTATGATGTAGTAAATTAAAGTAATGACTGAATACAAAGTATTTTTAACCCGAAAGTAAATTCAACCAAATCTGAGCACGGGTTTGAGGGTCGTATCAAACAATTTATGAGACCCCGAAGTTGCAATCTTTCCACAAAATATCGACAGAAAGCCCAGATTTAATAACCACCCAGTGCAATCTATTGTTTGATACTTGCAAAAATAAATAAATTCATCGAGGGCTCAAACCCTATTAAAGCCTCATGGAGGCCATCTACATTTCAAACCAAAATCCTTCTCCACATCGCTTTGAATTCTGATAAGAGTACGATGTGGTAAATTAAAGTAATGACTGAATACTAAGTATTTTTAACCCTCAAGTAAATTCAACCAAATCTGAGCTCGGGTTTCAGGATCGTATGTAACAATTTATAAGACCCCGAAGTTAAATTAGCTTTCTTTATAGAATCTAAAATTAATTGGGCGCCATGTAGTTCAGGTTGAGGGCTCACAGCCAATCTATCCAGAAAAAATCGACAAAAAGTCCTGATTTAATACCCACCAGCTCCATCTATTGTTCGATACTTGCAAAAATAAATTACTTATCGATGACTCAAACCCTTTTAAATCCTCATTGAAGCCACCTACAATTCAAACCAAAATTCTTAAAATCCGTCTACACATTTCTTCGAATTCTGATAAGAGTACAATGTGGTAAATTAATGTAATGACTGAATACTAAGTATTTTTAACCCGCAAGTAAATTCAACCAAATCTGAGCTCGAGTTTTGGGATCGTATCTAACAATTTATGAGACCCCGAAGTTGTAACAATCTTCTTCAAAGAACCTAAAATTAATTGAGCGCCATGTAGTTGACGTTGAGGACTCAAAACCAATCTTTCCACAAAGAATCGACAAAAAGTCCCAATTTCATAACCACACAGCGCCATCTACTGTTCGGAATTTGTAAAACTAAATTATTTATCGATGACTCAAACCATTTTGAAGCCTCATGGAAGCCACCTACATTTCAAACTGAAATCCTTAATTCTTAAAAAACTGTTAGACATATCGTTTCGAAACCTGATAAGGGTACGATGTAGTAAATTAAAGTAATGACTGAATACAAAGTATTTTTAAGCCACAAATAAAATCGACCCAATTGGAGCTCGTTTTTTCAGGATCTAAGATAGGTATCTAACAATATATAGGACTCCGAAATTGTACTAACTTTCTTCATTGGATTTAAAACTCGTTGGCAGGGGGCTTACAAACAATCCTTCCACAAAGAATCGACAAAAAGTACCAATTTTATAGCCACACAGCGCCATCTATCGTTCGAAAATTGCAAAGCTAAATTATTTATCATGGCCTTAAAATCTCATCCAACCTCATGGGGGCCATCTACATATAAAACCAAGATCCATAATATTAAAGAGATCTAATTTAAGTAGTATGTGGCAAATTGAAGTCTGGTGTGAATAGAGTATTTTTTTACTCGCGAGTACAGTCGAGCAAATCGGAGCTCGGGTTTGAGGATCGTTGATAGGTATCTAACAATTTATGGGTCTCCGAAATTGTAGTAATTTTTTTCATTGGATCTAAAACTCATTGGCTGAGGGCTTGCAGCTACAACAAAGAATCGACAAAAAGTCCCAATTTCATGATCATACAGCTCCATCTATTGTTCGAAGTTTGAACACCTAAATTATTTATAGAGAGCTTGAAACCTATCAAACTAAGATCCATAATATTAAAGAGATCGTTCGACACATCATTTCGAATTTTGTGCGAATTTTCTGATAAGATTAGGATGAGGCAAATTAAAGTTATGAGTAAATATAGAGTATTTTTTACTCGTGAGTAAAATCGAGCAGAAATGAGTTCTGGTTTTAGGATTCCCATAATTGTACGATGTTTCTTAATTGGGAGCCATTTTCTTCATTTTGAGGTCTCACAGCCAATAATTCCTAAAAAAAATCGACAAAAAGTCCCAATTCCATTGCTACCTTCCCATCCCTGTCATCTGAATAAGTGTTTGGGGTATTTTGAGTACGTGTGCGTTTTGTGTTTGCCTCTTAAGTTTATTATGTGTGGCGTTATATGGAGTGAAGTGGAGACATCATCAACCAACGAAAAAAAAAAAATAATAATATTATTTGAACTGGGTGGCACCATAGAGATTCATAACTACAACTGGCTTTAGTTGGTTGCCGTGCTGGGCTGTTGCATATCGTCGATGTGGGAGTTTGTTTCTCTCGTTTCATTTCTTAAATGTCCTTATGTAGTTTTCACAGTTTGTTGTTTCTCTCATGGATTTGCTTTTCGAGTTCACCGAAAAAAGCGGCGACATATAAACGAATATGCTTAAATGAAACTAAACTTACCTTGGCTTGGATTGCTGGCGGAATTGCTCCTCCTGGAAACAAAAAAAAAAAAAAAAAGACGAGGGAAAAAGAAAATTATCATGTGATTTAGAAATAATATTAAATATGTGAGGAGTTCTTCTCAATTGCAAAAAAGAACGGAAATTGCCAGTTGGCATAAAAGAAAGGCAGGCAGGGAGGGGAGAATAATGAAGAAGGCAAAGGAATTTTTATAAATGCCATTACCAAGGAGTTTATCTGGAACTGCGCAAAACACTTTTTATGCAAAGATAATATATGCCACCCTTACTTCTCCTCCCTCTCTCTACCTCTTCTCCTTCAATTCCTTACCGAAATTGATTCAAATGTAATTGTTTACATTTAAAGTCATCAAAAGCCAAACAAAATGCCATTAATTTCTCCCTTCCACTCAATCAAAATGGATTTTCTATTTTCCTCAAGGACCCCAGCAAAAAATATTCGGAATGGAAATCAATGAAAACAATCTACAGTCATAAAATATTTTGATTTATGGCGCATTGCTAGAAATGGATATGATACTCTTCTCCTGGCATGGCAAGCAAATCGTGTTTGTGGTAGTCGCACATAATGCCGGTTTAGTTTGCTATTTTCGGATTTGTCTGCTTTGTTATAACCTTAACACAGTTATACAACAAGAAGTTCATGTTCTTTGATTTGATACGAGAACCATAAAAAGTCCTCCAAAAGCTTCTTCTGTTCTGTTTTACTCTCCTCTCCCCTCCTTCACTTGCATTTGTTTATCTCTGTGTGGCATCAGAGGATAATTGAGTTGTGAAGCAATCACAAAATCAATATTTCACCCAAAAAACGAGAAAACGAAATTGTATGAATGTCGTTATAATGATACGGGTCATTTAAAATTCCGAAAACAGATAAAATTGAAAGTTGAAAATTTATTCACAAAAACAAATAGCACAACAACAAATAACTGGAAATTTGATTTTGTATCCTTTCCAAAATGAAATTAATTTGTTATCTTAATCAAGCATGATAACAAAAGAAAACAATAATTTGCAAAATGTTTGCATAGATGAAAAACAAGGACTACTTCAAAATTTTGGCATGGAAAGTGATAAACATAAAATAATAATAAATATAACCCATTTAGAAGTCCTGCTCAAATTCTCAAATTAATGATTAATTCGAAACGACATCTAGCCGTAGATAACAATGTTAGCAAAGTCTATAGCCAAATTTAAAGTATATTGAGCAATGGTGCTCACAATATACGCATTAGTAGTGGTAAGAGACTCTCTCACCTTGACTAATGAAAATTGGGAGAGAATACGAGTGGTTTGTTTATACTTTTTCGTTCGAGACTGCTCATAGCTAACATTGAGTCATAAATATAATCGAAGTGTAGATGGCATGATTGCATAGAGAAAATGAAGGAGTCATGATATAAATAAGATAAGCATACAAAGATAATATAATCCAATTAAAAGTGCCATTAGATTTCACCCAATTCTAAAATTATATGAAACGGGAAAATTAACACCACTTTGAGGATTCATTTTAGTTGAAGTATAGATGGCACCACAAACATTGTAGTTTTTCCATGTTTTCTTTTTCTGAAAACTACTAATCTTTTAATACTGAAACATGTAATACTAGATGATGGTAGTGCTATAAAAGTCTTACGGAACACAGCTAGTCGGGTAGTTGATGAACTAAATGAAACAACATCTATATGAAGGTAACAACTTTAGCAAAGTCCAACACCTAATAGATGGCATCCCAACAATGTCTGCATAGGCAATATTAAGAAGTCCTTATCACGAATATACAAAAGATACTACGTTAAAATAATTCATATATAAGTTCCATTAAAATTCTCAGTCAAAAATTAAATGACAAATTTTGAAAAATTAAATGACAAAATAGAGCTATATAGATTGTCTGTCCTGATACAAATACATATTATGTAACTAGATTTATTAATAAAACGTGTACTTTTTTCCTTTCAATGGCAAAACTTTTAAAAAGTACAATTGGAAATTCGCCCTATTTCTTTCGTATTGTTTATTAATCAATCAAATCTCCCTAAAAATTTTTTTTCAAAAGGAAAAATGTCATTCTCCGCCATATTACACTGTCTTCTCTTAAATTTATTAAAATTCTTATTAGTTCTTAGGTTAAAGGGCCGGATTTCTAGTAAAAAATTATACCTACAGAGGGTATACATCATTTGAAAAATTTAACATTTAGTTCCATTTAGATCTGGCACATCTCAATATATCTATTAACACTCGAACTGTTTTAAGGATGATAGAGATTAGTCCATTTCTTCTGGTATCTCCCCCCAAAGAATCAAAGTTTCAAACGATCATAAAATCCGAAATACAGCGCAAGATAAAAAAACTACAACAATGTCAAACGCCAAAGCATCAAATTTTAGAATAAGTTTAGATTTGTTCGAATTGGTCACCCATGGCACGAATTATGGCCTTCAAACGGCCAATGAAACCGTTACACGATGACGGAATGTTGCTCTGCGGTATTTTGGCCCATTCCCGACGAAGTGCTTGCTTGAGGTGATCGACACTTTGGTATTTTTTAGTGCCAACCTTACTTTCCAAAATACTCCAGACACAATAATCCAACGGATTGGTATCCGGAGATTTTGTTGGCCATATTGCGCTGGAAATGAAGCGAGGAACCTCATTTTGTAACCATTCTTGGGTGGCGCGTGCTGAGTGCGATGGTATTGAATCCTGTTGGAATGTCCAAGGTCTAGAATAATTTCGCGATACGATAATACGAGCGACCATCGGCTGTTATGGCGGCCCACACCGGCGCTTGAGTTCTGGTGGCCAACCGAAGGTGTGCACCTTTTCAGCTGACCTCTATGGAAAGTAATCACGATCATTTTGTTTTTTTACAAACTGCTGGACAACGAATGTTTTCTCATCGGAGAAAAACAAAATTCGGCAGTTCACCACTTTCGGTCAAGCGAAGCAACTCTTTAGCTCTTTTGAGTCTATTTTCTATTTGTTGCGGTGTAAGTTCTTGCACTTTTTGGAATTTCAATGGCTTTACCCCGAGCTCATTTTGATATGTTCAGCTCACGAGCCATTTTTCGGCCACTGCGACGCGGGGTTCTCGATCAAAGCGCTTCATTACTTTTCGAACCATTTCTGCTGATTATTCACATTAAAATGCTGTACTGCTCTAACGATAGCCACTTCTGGTTTTCCAGCCAAACATAAAGAAATCACACTATCACGCTTGAATTCCATCACGAATAACTTTTTTTCTGGAGAATTCTCACCAAAATGCTTGTGTACGCTTGTAAACTATATACTGAGCTGTCACTGGAATAATTGTAACAGATGTCGGACGAATGGCTTAGAAATGACAGCAGTTAGAAGTTGGTTGCAGTTTTTTTATCTCACCCTGTACGTTGGAATAATTCATTCCAAAAAAGTTCCATTTAAATTCCCAAAGTCAATAAATTTTAGAAAATGATAAACTAAAGCTACATTGTGTACAGATGGCAGCATTGCAGTTATTTCTTTCTGTTCTGTGATAAATATTTATGATGTGACTTAATTTTCAATAAAACGTATTTTTTTTCTTTTCAATGGCAAAAGCTCAATTTGAGAGAGAACGGCTACATGATCAACAAATATAAAAACTAGATGGCAATTATTCAAAATCCATATCATCAAGAATCATATACTTCTTTTGACTCGGTCATATTTGTCAGGTAAAAAAATAATTTGCTTCGGATGCATGACAGATTTAGGGATAAAATTGATGTTTAATTTTATCGAACTACAGATGGCAGCCCACACCCAAGCTTTGTCTGGGACCAATTTCCAATAATGTAATTAAATGGTTAGTTTTACAAATTCAAGCAGTCGACTAAAGTTAAAGAAGTTTAGAGCTACTGCATCGAAAAAATTTAAATAATTTTTTTTAACAAATGTTGCAGAATCGCCAAAATGCAATTTTAAACACATATTATTTTTAATTTTAAAATGGAAGAATCACAATAAGCGCGCCGATAATAGCGTAGTAACATCAACCGCACGTGGAAATCTGATAACACTATTTCCAAGGTTTAAATCAATGAACTTCTGGGTACAGGGTCCAGGAATGCTGACGCATCTGCAATCGTTGATTAGATTTTTAATCTATTTGCAAAGCTACGAATAGGTTAGTTTTACAAATTCAAGCAGTCGACTAAAGTTAAAGAAGTTTAGAGCTACTGCATCGAAAAAATTTAAATATTTTTTTTTAACAAATGTTGCAGAATCGCCAAAATGCAATTTTAAACACATATTATTTTTAATTTTAAAATGGAAGAATCACAATAAGCGCGCCGATAATAGCGTAGTAACATCAACCGCACGTGGAAATCTGATAACACTATTTCCAAGGTTTAAATCAATGAACTTCTGGGTACAGGGTCCAGGGAATGCTGACGCATCTGCAATTATTGATAAGATTTTTAATCTATTTTCAAAGCTACGAATAGACACATAGCTAATCAGTTTCTATGATAGTTAAAAAATTATTAATTAAACTGCACCAATCGCAAGGAATTGGAGTTGTCTACCGAAATATAGAAATATTTTTTCGGAAACAACAATATGAGAACTAATTGTGGGTTAACGACGATGTTTCCGAAAAAAACATGCTTCCACAGGCAGTATTTAAAACACAACTCTAGACAACAAATTTCTATTCATGACCAAGAACGCCCCCTATTGGTGAATGTTGCAAAACTATATTCTAATGATAATTTTTATAAAAAATAATCATCGTCCTTCCGTCCTTCCGTCCGTCCGTCTTGTAATCATGCTAGAGTCAAATACCGAATGGACCCCATATAACAGTACCACCCGATATACGGATTTTGATGATTGTAGCCAAATTTTTGAATGGAATTTTCTGAAATTCTACACAAGCAGTTCTCTGTCAGTACTGTACCCCTTTAAAGAGAATTTTCTTTATAGGTATACCCCCCATACAATGGTACCCCTCAATATTCGGTATTTTGATG